TTGGAGTTCTCACTAGAGCTGTCTTCATGCCTTGTCCCAAACAAGCTGTGAGCATATTCATTGGAGTTCTCACTAGAGCTGTGCCTTGTCCCAAACAAGCATAACATCATTGGAGTTCTCACTAGAGCTGTCTTCATGCCTTGTCCCAAACAAGCTGTGAGCATAACATCATTGGAGTTCTCACTAGAGCTGTCTTCATGCCTTGTCCCAAACAAGCTGTGAGCATAACATCATTGGAGTTCTCACTAGAGCTGTCTTCATGCCTTGTCCCAAACAAGCTGCAGACGGAGCACTAATGGACAGTTTTAAGAGTCTTCAAGGCAGATATTACGCTGGTTGTAACAATCAGTCTGACATTGCTGCCAGGAATAGTATTATACTCTGGTGTTATTTCTGTAAAAAACAAAACCATTACAGAAGAGTGTGTGGGGTGGAAAAGGGGGGGGTTGTGTACCACTTCTTGAACAGACCTCCCAAACATGTTTTCTGTTGTCCAGACACCATTGACAGCAACATAGAGCGTGCAGCGGTACAAGTGGATGCTGGCAGAGAGCAGTTGGTCAAAGCAGCGGACTACCAGGTAAGATCTTGTTTCTGCTGGGTTGTAGACAAAAATCTGGCAAATGTGAAAATAGAAGTTAACAGTACATTTTGGGAGTACTGACAACAGTAAACAAATGCTTGAAGAAGTCAGATGTGTCGTCTCCAAGGCACAGATGTCACAGTACTGCTGAGCACTACATCGTTTCAGAACAAAAAGTACTGAGCAGTTGAAAGAAAAGACACAACAATTATTTGTAGTGTGAAAACAGGAAAGTGTGTGCATTTATGTCAGTGCAAGACATCTAATGGCATTCTGGGATTGTTCCATGAACTTGTCTTTTGATTTCATGATTTGTAGTCGATAAAAAAGTAGTATCTTTTTGTAATCATGCAGCACATATAGTTTAGGGATGGGCAGTAATCATGCAGCACATATAGTTTAGGGATGGGTAGTAATCATGCAGCACATACAGTTTAGGGATGGGCAGTAATCATGCAGCACATATAGTTTAGGGATGGGCAGTAATCATGCAGCACATATAGTTTAGGGATGGGCAGTAATCATGCAGCACATACAGTTTAGGGATGGGCAGTAATCATGCAGCACATATAGTTTAGGGATGGGCAGTAATCATGCAGCACATATAGTTTAGGGATGGGCAGTAATCATGCAGCACATATAGTTTAGGGATGGGCAGTAATCATGCAGCACATATAGTTTAGGGATGGGCAGTAATCATGCAGCACATATAGTTTAGGGATGGGCAGTAATCATGCAGCACATATAGTTTAGGGATGGGCAGTAATCACACAGCACATATAGTTTAGGGATGGGTAGTAATCATGCAGCACATATAGTTTAGGGATGGGTAGTAATCATGCAGCACATATAGTTTAGGGATGGACAGTAATCATGCAGCACATATAGTTTAGGGATGGGCAGTAATCATGCAGCACATATAGTTTAGGGATGGGCAGTAATAATGAGAACATATAGTTTAGGGATGGGCAGTAATCATGCAGCAGACACAGTTTAGGGATGGGTAGTAATCATGCAGCACATATAGTTTAGTGATGGGCAGTAATCATGCAGCACATATAGTTTAGGGATGGGCAGTAATCATGCAGCACATATAGTTTAGGGATGGGCAGTAATCATGCAGCACATATAGTTTAGGGATGGGCAGTAATCATGCAGCAGACACAGTTTAGGGATTGGCAGTAATCATGCAGCACATATAGTTTAGGGATGGGCAGTAATCATGCAGCACATATAGTTTAGGGATGGGCAGTAATCATGCAGCACATATAGTTTAGGGATGGGCAGTAATCATGCAGCAAATATAGTTTAGGGATGGGCAGTAATCATGCAGCACATATAGTTTAGGGATGGACAGTAATCACGCAGCACATATAGTTTAGGAATGGGCAGTAATCATGCAGCACATATAGTTTAGCGATGGTCAGTAAACATGCAGCACATTTAGTTTAGTGATGGTCAGTAAACATGCAGCACATATAGTTTATTGGTGCGGAGAAATAATGAGAACAAATAGTTTAGGGATGGGCAATAATCATGAGAACATATAGTTTAGGGATGGGCAGTAATCATGAGAACATATAGTTTGGACTAGATAGCACAATTTGATCTCTCTAGCGCAGTTTGATCTAACCAGCTTTGTGTCTGTCTCTCTGTTTCTGTCTCTCTAGCACAGTTTGATCTAACCAGCTTTGTGTCTGTCTGTCTGTTTCTGTCTCTCTAGCGCAGTTTGATCTAACCAGCTTTGTGTCTGACTGTCTGTTTCTGTCTCTGTAGCGCAGTTTGATCTAACCAGCTTTGTGTCTGTCTGTCTGTTTCTGTCTCTAGCGCAGTTTGATCTAACCAGTTTTGTGTCTGTCTCTCTGTTTCTGTCTCTCTAGCGCAGTTTGATCTAACCAGCTTTGTGTCTGTCTCTCTGTTTCTGTCTCTCTAGCGCAGTTTGATCTAACCAGTTTTGTGTCTGTCTGTCTGTTTCTGTCTCTCTAGCGCAGTTTGATCTAACCAGCTTTGTGTCTGACTGTCTGTTTCTGTCTCTCTAGCGCAGTTTGATCTAACCAGCTTTGTGTCTGACTGTCTGTTTCTGTCTCTCTAGCGCAGTTTGATCTAACCAGCTTTGTGTCTGACTGTCTGTTTCTGTCTCTCTAGCACAGTTTGATAAAACCAGCTTTGTGTCTGACTGTTTCTGTCTCTCTAACACAGTTTGATCTAACCAGCTTTGTGTCTGTCTGTTTCTGTCTCTCTAGCACAGTTTGATCTAACCAGCTTTGTGTCTGACTGTCTGTTTCTGTCTCTCTAGCACAGTTTGATCTAACCAGCTTTGTGTCTGTCTGTTTCTGTCTCTCTAACACAGTTTGATCTAACCAGCTTTGTGTCTGTCTGTTTCTGTCTCTAGCGCAAGTCCAGGAAGAAGATGTGCTGTATCGTCGTCATTCTGCTGGTTGTTGCCATCATCATCACCATCATTATTGTTGTTGCTGTGAAGGCCTGAGCTCCAGGAGGAGCCAGAGTGGGTGTCTGCAGGTGGAAGAGTGGGACATTATCCACGTGGGTGCATGTGCATACACACACCCACACAGGAATAGAACACACATTGTATAGAGTCGGACATTACACACGTGGGTGCATGTGCATACACACGCCCACGCCGGAATAGAACACACATTGTATAGAGTGGGACATTACACACGTGGGTGCATGTGCATACACACACCCACGCAGGAATAGAACACACATTGTATAGAGTGGGACATTACACACGTGGGTGCATGTGCATACACACACCCATGCTGGAATAGAACACACATTGTATAGAGTGGGACATTACACTTGTGGGTGCATGTGCATACACAAACCCACACAGGAATAGAACACACATTGTATAGAGTGGGACATTACACACCCACACAGGAATAGAACACACATTGTATAGAGTGGGACATTACACACGTGGGTGCATGTGCATACACAAACCCACACAGGAATAGAACACACATTGTATAGAGTGGGACATTACACACCCACACAGGAATAGAACACACATTGTATAGAGTGGGACATTACACACGTGGGTGCATGTGCATACACACACCCATACAGGAATAGAACACACATTGTATAGAGTGGGACATTACACACGTGGGTGCATGTGCATACACACACCCACACAGGAATAGAACACACATTGTATAGAGTGGGACATTACACACATGGGTGCATGTGCATACACACACCCACGCAGGAATAGAACACACATTGCATTGTATAGAGTGGGACATTACACACGTGGGTGCATGTGCATACACACACCCACGCAGGAATAGAACACACATTGTATAGAGTGGGACATTACACACCTGGATGCATGTGCATACACACACCCACACAGGAATAGAACACACATTGTATAGAGTGGGGCATTACACACGTGGGTGCATGTGCATACACACACCCACGCAGGAATAGAACACACATTGTATAGAGTGGGACATTACACACCTGGATGCATGTGCATACACACACCCACACAGGAATAGAACACACATTGTATAGATTGGGACATTACACATGTGGGTGCATGTGCATACACACACCCACACAGGAATAGAACACACATTGTATAGAGTGGGACATTACACACGTGGGTGCATGTGCATACACAAACCCATGCAGGAATAGAACACACATTGTATAGAGTGGGACATTACACACCTGGATGCATGTGCATACACAAACCCACGCAGGAATAGAACACACATTGTATAGAGTGGGACATTACACACGTGGGTGCATGTGCATACACACACCCACACAGGAATAGAACACACATTGTATAGAGTGGGACATTACACACCTGGATGCATGTGCATACACACACCCACACAGGAATAGAACACACATTGTATAGAGTGGGACATTACACACGTGGGTGCATGTGCATACACACACCCACACAGGAATAGAACACACATTGTATAGAGTGGGACATTACACACGTGGGTGCATGTGCATACACACACCCACACAGGAATAGAACACACATTGTATAGAGTGGGACATTACACACATGGGTGCATGTGCATACACACACCCACACAGGAATAGAACACACATTGTATAGAGTGGGACATTACACACCCACACAGGAATAGAACACACATTGTATAGAGTGGGACATTACACACGTGGGTGCATGTGCATACACACACCCACGCAGGAATAGAACACACATTGTATAGAGTGGGACATTACACACGTGGGTGCATGTGCATACACACACCCACACAGGAATAGAACACACATTGTATAGAGTGGGACATTACACACCCACACAGGAATAGAACACACATTGTATAGAGTGGGACATTACACACGTGGGTGCATGTGCATACACACACCCACACAGGAATAGAACACACATTGTATAGAGTGGGACATTACACACGTGGGTGCATGTGCATACACACACCCACACAGGAATAGAACACACATTGTATAGAGTGGGACATTACACACATGGGTGCATGTGCATACACACACCCACACAGGAATAGAACACACATTGTATAGAGTGGGACATTACACACCCACACAGGAATAGAACACACATTGTATAGAGTGGGACATTACACACGTGGGTGCATGTGCATACACACACCCATGCAGGAATAGAACACACATTGTATAGAGTGGGACATTACACACGTGGGTGCATGTGCATACACACACCCACACAGGAATAGAACACACATTGTATAGAGTGGGACATTACACATGTGGGTGCATGTGCATACACACACCCACGCAGGAATAGAACACACATTGTATAGAGTGGGACATTACACACGTGGGTGCATGTGCATACACACACCCACGCAGGAATAGAACACACATTGTATAGAGTGGGACATTACACTTGTGGGTGCATGTGCATACACACACCCACACAGGAATAGAACACACATTGTATAGAGTGGGACATTACACACGTGGGTGCATGTGCATACACACACCCACGCAGGAATAGAACACACATTGTATAGAGTGGGACATTACACTTGTGGGTGCATGTGCATACACAAACCCACACAGGAATAGAACACACATTGTATAGTGTATTTTTCATTACAATTTGTTGCTATTCCCATTTGTTCATTATCACTAGGGCTGTACCGAATATTCACTTTGTATTCGCTTCGGGGCCGAATAGTGGACCTATTGACTATTCTGTATTCTGCATATACGGCCCTAATGCTGATAACATGGAACGATTGATTTTGTTGAAAGCTAATGCAGCTTTCCTGCATTAACTAAGCTGTCAGTGACAATTTCCAAGTTTAGTTACTTGTTATAGTACTTAGGATTCTTTCATTCCTAGTTATTAGTTACCACAGACTGACTAAAGGATGCAAAACATAAAATGTTTTTAAATATTTACTATTCTGTACTAGACCAAGAAAAAGCCTTCGATAGAGTCGACAGGAATATGTTGTGGGAATGTATGGGGAAAAAAGGAATCAGCAATCATCTCATTAATATTTGCAAAAGCCTGTACACATGTAGTAAATGCTGCATAAGATCAAAGGCAGGGTTGTCATGAACTTTTATAATGAACTCTGGTGTGCGTCAGGGCTGTGTACAATCGCCGCTTCTTTTTATAACATACATGGATACCATATGTAGCGAAACGAACTTTAATCATGAAGAAGATAATACAGAATTACTCTTCGCCGACCACCAGGTACTCATAGCAGAAAATACGGAATGCCTACAGAACCACCTAAATCAAATTAGTAACAAAGGAGGGGGGGGGGGAATATAATATGACAATACATACTACGAAGACAGAGACAATGATGATAGGAAGACATAAAAACAATTTAGAAATTAAATTAAAAAACAACACCCTTAGACAAACAGAGGAATTTAGGTATTTGGGAGCAATTTTTACATCCGACGGAAAACTGGACAGAGAAATTAGCTTTAGATGTGGCAAAGCTAATCAAGTAATGGGGCTACTATCTCCCCTGTTGACACACAAGCAGATACCCCACAGTACTAAAGTGAATCTTATCAGAACTATATTTTGGCCAACACTATGCTATCAATGCCAAACGTGGACACTTACATCCTCCAATGAATGTAAAATTGTGACAACAGAGATGAAATGCCTTGGAAGAGCTGCAGGAGTTTCAAGGAAAGACAGAATACGAAATCATGAAATCAGACGAATGCTAGGAATAAAGCCAGTCTTACAGGTCATCAAAGAACAACAAATGAAGTGGTTTGGACACCTAACAAGAATGCCCTGGTCCTATCTGCCACAGCGAGCCACACTAAAACGTTACAACGGGTATAGAGCGAGTGGAAGACCTCGGAAAATATGGAGTGATGGCATTAAGAACAGCCTTACATAAATGAACACCAGTCTTAATAGTGCTCTTGACAGAGCTCATTAATGAACATTACATCTCCCCCCGACACTTCGATGAGGTACAAGGTGGAAGAGAAGAAGAAGAAGAAGACTATTCTGTACGAATACTAACTAGACATGGAAAGAATATAAACTTCGGCCAAATCCAAGTCGATAATATGAAAAACAAACGAAAAGAAACATATAAGTACTTGGATGCAAACTTCAACTGCTCCAATGAGGCCTTTTTACAGTTTTCAAAAACAGTCTTACGTCAAATCTTTGGACCCATCAAAGATGCAAACAGCGGGGAATGGAGAGTGCGAAGCAACAACGTAACACATAATCTGTTTAAATCACCATTGATCACTGGCATCATGAGAGCTAACAGACTAAAATGGCTGGGGCATATTGAAAGAATGTCAGATCACAGAGAATTAAAAACTGTATACACCTGAGAGAGGAATGGGCGTAGACCATGAGGAAGACAAAAAAGAAGTTTGAGAGATAATGTCCAGCCAGACCTGCAAACAACTGGTGTCACAAATTGTGAAAAGAAGGCCAGCCAGAGAGATGAATGGAGACGAGTGATATCTGCAGCCGTACACCTCAAGGGCTCAGAATTCTAAAGAAGAAGATGACTATTCTGTGCTACTTTTTGTGAAATAAAAGTTCAGAGTACATTTGACATTATGAATGCATTTTTTTAAAGATATATTTTATACACTACACACTATTCTTATAGTGGTGTGTCGGCACATGAACTGATACATGCTGCAGGAGATTGTGAATTATGGAGAGGCATGATCGCCCACCCCAGTCGGCAAGGCACCTGATGATGATGATGACACTATTTGTATTTGTATTCGGCAGAATAGTTGGTCTCGCTATTCGTATTCGGCCGAATAGTGAAAATCACTATTCGGTACAGCCCTAATAATCACCATCTGTCTCCTGGCCATGTCAAAAATGTTGTGAATTAGAATCAAATGATGATGTACTGGCTGTTTGATGTTCAGCTTAATGAGAATTGTGACTGCAGGCTTTCACATCACTGATGAGCAGCTCAGGGTTTGACA